CTGTAGTCCTAAATCGCAAAGAAATCTAATTTCCTCGGAGGCCGAAAATGGTTGTCAGATTTGAAACACGCGTATTTGAAACACGCGGATTAATAACCATATCCTACTTTCCCTTAAATATATTTAAGCGAACGGAATTGTTTTCCGTTAGCTGAGAGCGCGGTTAACTTTAAGAATCACCACTTCAATAAGAAAGCTGTGGAATGGATAATAGTACGGTTTGTGAACTTGACTACCCCTATCAAGAAGATATACATACATACAACTGTCACTATTTCAACAAAATATCGTGCATCCAGGAAACTTGGTTGTCATAGTTAAAACGTGAAGTTAAAGACAAATAGAATGATAAATACGAACTTTCTTTTTCCATGCAATTTTCATCTTCGGCTGGAGAGCCACACCTCGTCGTTTTAATATACGACCTTCAAGGACCCATTGGTTCACTTTTAGGTCGGGAGGTCCCGCGGCTTTTAATTGCCGATTGGCATCTCGTCGTCCTTAAGCGTTGATTTCGGTCACTCTTTAAGAAAGTCTCAGTGAGTTCCTTTCCCATTCTATGCATTAAAATATATATTTTTTCTGAGTTATTTTAAAATTTTTGCTGACCGACTATAATAAAACATATATTATCTGAAGTGAAGCAGATAACGATTGAAACCGAATCTAGATCTTCTCGAGTTCGCTTCGAGCGTAGTAATTTAGCCGAAGGAGCTACCGAACGTCCGTATTTATAAATCTCATCGGCGAAGCGCCCGACAATTGTACGTAAATTTTGGGCATATGCAAACCTTGAAGCGATCGGGCTAATTAAACATCCGACTCGAATTCCATTGTTATTAGGGTAATATGCAGGTTTGGCGATAGCCAGTTTATTTCTTTCGTATATTATTCATGTCCGCGCTTGTTAGCAGATAGCGGCAGGACGAACTTGCTACGGCAAGATGCCCTGAGGGACTTAGTGGGTTTTCGGGTTACCCGTTCAGTGTACTCACTAACAACTAAGCTTTTTGTATCGGACGGAAGCACAGTCCCTTATTCTGCCATTACAGTTGGAATTTGATGGCCGCTCTGAAAAACTCCAAACTTTTTCATGTCGTTTGTCAGTATTCCTTGCAAAATGTTCTCCAGACGTGCGTTGTATGCATTAAACTCAGAGTATGCCCTAAAACACCCATAAGCACTGTAAAAACCTACAGAAACCTATTATCACTGCATCCAATATGTAATCAGTTATCAACTTACACGGATAAATCTGTCAGTTACCACAGTTACACTCGTCTTCCCCGGGTGTCCCTAAACATATTCATTCAGAAGATTAGCCGCCTCTTGTATAGGCCTACTTGGTCTCCCAGTCTCTTTCGGTAACCCAAATTATTTCCACATCAAAATGAAGGGTTGTCGGAGTGGTGTGTGATACTGAATATTATATACTATTTAGCTTATACCGTATGGGTGTCTAAACCCCTCAATGGAGTACTTATGTAGACCATGACAATGCGGTAATTGTTCACAATGCTGACTACTGTGTGGTAACAGCCTTATTGGAGATGAATAATTGCCAACCCTTATGAAGATGTTCAGAAAATATACGGCCAAGTCTATTAAACCACTATATAACAAAAGCTTTCTGAACTGCGGCGCTTTTAACCTGTCGAAATGCACTACGTCTTTAAACTACAGAATTAATTCAGGCATACTGTTCGTGAGAAGTGGCCACTCGCCTGCGCTACGCAGCTCCAACTGTAAGATAATGTGACTAATACTCATGGAACCCTTGTGTACGAATTAAGCAACGTTTTAATTATTCATGAAATGATGGCTTGAATCTAGCAGGAATTCAAAAACAGGCTCAATACTGCACGAAAGAGGTGACAAGATGCCTACTATGTTTTCATTCTTTTTGACGAAACGAAAGTCCAAATCTACTCTTAGTTATCAATCTGCGTCCCCATCCGCATTTCCCTAGTACCCATACGTATTCACTGCGGAAATCGCGTCTTTTGTGGACTTCATTCTCAATTTGTGCTGAGTCTTCATAAATAATGGCAGAAATTAACTGTTACTACTCGTCCTAAATCTGCAATGCCGACACGACTTCATACAACTGTGCAGTAACTGCGTGCGATCCCTTCGCAGGGCAAAACATGCTCTCTGTGGGACGTACCATACTAGCTTTCTACACAGACATGCCCAAGATGGGCCGCCGCCCTTGTGGCATGAGTAGTCGTTAGGTCATCAACACTGACGTGCACTTTCAACTCAACTATACGTATGCAACTACCTACATTAAATTAGGCAGCATTACTTCCTCACCCTCAAGGCCAGAGTTGAGCAACTTCTACACTAGAACCACATTTTACAAGACCTAAATGCAAATATTCAATAAAGAATTTAAGGAGGGAAGCAATTTCCTCGGTTAAAGTGCTGTGTACGAAGTGTGTAGCCCACAGTTTAACCCTCTCCCGGACGAGCAGCTTCTGTTTACCGGCTGCCACGTACAGGAACCTCGAATATTGGCTTCGATTGTGCTATTACAAAATTTCGAAATACACATTTTTCATTGCTCACTGCCTATTCCACTCCCGACTCTAGTGTTAAAATTGCTAAAGCTTGTAATTATATTGATGCACCGTGTATTCTTGCTTTCTCCTTAGCATTTTGCGCAGTGATCTCCCGGGGATTTCTTAGATTATTTTAGAGACATTCAATCAGTGAGACTCAGACAAAAATAAAAGATAAAAAGGTAGGTACAAATCATCGCTAACCTAAGATATGGCCAACCCCCGAACAGCTGAAAGTGGACACTTCACCTGCGATGGAAACCGTAGTGCGTCAACGGCCTGCCTGACCTCAGCACCGAAAACATTGCCTCCCCCTCTAAAGTTTTTACTGAATATATGCTTTTAGATCGCGTGAAGCGTAGTTCTTTTGTACAAGGATCCGTTGGTCAACTGTGGCTTTGAAGATGCGGCAGGTCATGCTACTTCATTCAATGAGAGTATTTGCAACTGTGCAGTGGAGTTGGTAGTACATCTTGGTGTAAATGACCTGCCGGCTAGTCGTCAGTCAGAAGGACAGAGGGACAATCTTTGCGACTAAGTAGGCCTTGCAGTGATAAAGGGCTGCCCATTAGACCGATATGGCCGGCAGTAATTCTGGTTCCTCTACTTCAATACCATTTTGATGCAAACGTTAAATTTCTACCTCTCTTCTATGACGGTAAAGGAAAACACTCCCAGTTCGATAATTACGACTAATCTACCATTACCGAGAGTTCAGCATGGTGCAGCGCCCGACGCCTAATAGGATGAATTAACTTGACTGGCTAGTCCTAAGTAGTAGGGTTAGCTTTCGGCACAATATTCTTTGCGCTTCTACACTGGTTAATACGTGGACCGCGAACGCGTCCACGGCCTGTTTGTCGTCTAACTGGCAGCGATGCGGCGGTGAGTACACAAATTAATTGCAAATTAGCTGTGCGCGCAAACGCACGCGCCTTTCGTCCAAGCGATGTTTTTGCACGCACAAAGTTATGCAATGTCTTTTGCGTATAGATTAGCAGGCCTACAATGTGGCAGTGCAAAAAATATACCAATATAATGTTAACGTCTACTTGTGTCATAATTGGACCTAGAACGTTTGTACCGCCTCCCCTCGAAAGTAACCGAAAAACCAGTATTGTGCTTCAAGAAAGGTATTCGATGAGGGTGGACTGCGTTTAAAAAGCGTTGTGCGTATGGATGTACATTCGCCTAGACGTATTGCCTAACAACAACTCACGCGCGACATTTGTGTTTACCAATGTTGGGACTGCAGCTAACCATAATCCTTAGGATTAACCAGTCAATTTAAGTCATTCTACAAGGCATCAGGTGATGCGACATTCTGAACTCTCAGCAGCGCTAGATTAGCCGTACTTATCGAACTGGGAGTTTTTTTCCTTTATCGTCATATTAGATAGGCATCCTCAAAATTATTTAGAAATAAAGTGACCAGAATTATTGAAGTCTCTTCGATTGCATTCAGTTCAGAGAAGTGCTAGTTATCTGTTCGTTTGACTTTGAGTGAGTAGTTCCCTAGCTGATGCGAGTGGAGCTTACAATATCTGGCAAGCGCGTCTCTCGTTGCAATGTGCCGTGCGTGAACTTTCAACAAATCCAGATACCTCCAAAGCAGCGCGTAGTATGTAAATTTGTCGACGAATGTGGGTCACAGTCATAGACAAAGGAGGTGTTGGTAAAGGTGACGTCTTGATTTCTTATGCGTGCTTGCAGACATGACTAATGTTGAGAATCTTCTATTCATCCTATTGACCGGGGCTTTGAAAGCCCGAACTTTTTTTACTAAAAAAGTATATGAATGAATATTTAGAAAAAAAATCGAGGGCCACACCTGTAAGGCATTCATCCGTGCCAAGGGCGTTTTGAAATAGTTTTGTAAATGCCACACACACCCACGTGGCACATATGCGTGAAAACATGTTGGCAAAGACGAGTTGGCCCGCACCTTTAGGCCAGAGCTTGCTGATCTCAGCTGATCCTCCATTAATTTTATTTTTTCTTCTTCTTCAGCGATGGCGAGCAAATTAAACATGCTGAAGATGCGGCCTCTTTTGAAGAAGCTGGTGATTGCCGGCGCTGCCGCTGGTGTAGGCGCTCTGGTGACTATGCAAATGGTGCCCAAGTTGCAGGAGAACAGAAGAATGCGGGTCAGTTAATGCGAGGCTTTTTGTCCGCTTGTTTGCAACCGGGGTATCGTCTACTTGTTGACATCGAAGAGGTCCGTTTTTCGCTTTTTGACTGCGGAGATCGTAAAAGAAAGGCAGACTTCAAACGCACTTGAGGGGCTCGTTAATTTTGTTTTGCCCCCTTCTTAGTCCTTTTTGTACAATAGCTGCTGGATATAAACCGGAAGGCGGAAAATGTCAGTGTGATAACGTTAGAATGGTAGGCTTTGAACGGCATTGAAGGAAGGGACTAATCTTTGTGGAGAAGCTGATGTGTATATAAATCGGAAAGCAGAGAATCCCAGTGTGATAACGTTATAATGGTAGGCTTTGAACCGCTTTGAGGGAGGGGACCACTAATCTTGACATTGCGCCGCATTTGGCCAGGCCGTCGCCCATTGGGCTATCTGTCTACAAGTACGTAATATCTTCCGTACCAATGTTTTTGCTTTTAGCCCCCATTATTTCCCTCATCTAAATGAACTACTCCCATTGATCTAGGTAATCTCGACTAGTCGACTTGACAAGACTTATTTCAGGTTGAGGTTATCGTTTTTTGTAGTATTCGGTTGAACTGCCTCTCAACTTATTTCACGTCATTCACTGGCTACCATGGGGAATGACAACGAGCGGCCTCACTGGCTCATGGTTCTTGCTAGCCAGTTCTTGCCGAATCCCTTACTATTGTCGTACACTTGTACACTTACATTGAACTTAGATTAATCTATGAACTAGTCTTCCGACTGCCGCTGTTATCAATATGAATAAAGAGGACTTTTCGTGCACCGGATCAATTTGTTCGAAGGCTCCGGACAATTAAAAAAAAGTTGATCCGATGCTTGAAACGTCTTCTTCTTTATTCATTCAAGTACCTGGAACTCGAACGTTTTCATCCAGTCGTGAGCTGTTATCATTAGTTAAAACTATGTGCCCAGAATTTGTGTCCACGGAGAAAAAAGAAGTGCATATACCTTTTCATGACGATTGACTCCCGCCTGTCTCTCTGTTCAGTTATTTTATGTGTTGGTACGGTTGCTTAAGCAACTAAATAAATGTGTATAAACCAAATTGTTTATTTCTTTGAAGTTCGCACACAGGCATAAGGGGGGCGTCCATCCCTCTCTCCTTTGGTTAAATGCGCATTTAGCTGGTTTTGCCACTCTTGGCACGAAGGCACTGTGCGTGTATGTTTAACAGTGTTTTATGTCGCAAATTAGCCATGCCAAAAATAATTATTTGAAAGCTATAGTCAGAATCTTAAGGCTAGGGGAACTCAATTTGGAATGTTCAGTAAATGGGAACTTGTAATACACAAAAATTAAGACGTTAGTAGGGCCGTTTTTCCTCGAATTCGTTTTAACCGCGGACTTTCATTTCCCTGTTTCGTCCACAAAAGCAGGCTCTTACTTCTTGATAAGGCCCTTCTTCTGTCAGAGGAACTATTTTCCGAAGTATCAATCTACTAAAACATTTTTTGCCGTTCATAAATATTCCGCACTTCGTTCAGCGTGTTCACCAGGTAAGCACACTTTTGTTGTCTTTAACATCATATCGTAACCTGCTTATTTTTACCAGCTAACCACTCTTCATAACAAAAACGT